TACGCCGTTGCTTTTGATTTATGGAGCCAGTAACAAAAATAATTTCCGTCTGGGATTATTAAAGTATTTCTGATTCTGATTCTGATTATCGGATATATGTTTTTATCTAGGTTTCAATTAAAGTTTTATTTTGTAGTTTATACCTGTTTGGTTTACTGACTCTTCAGTTTTGAACCTTTACAAACATCCACTTTCTTCTCAGTTATTTAATAATCTGTTGCCATTGTATTTCCTCCATTAAAGCTATTTTGATAGTGTTTGCTTGAGGTTTACTTGCTTTTTTATTATTTAAAATGAAAGATTTGTTTGTAACCAGCCAGTCAAACTCAAGAAACAAAAAAGAAGACTTACACTGGTAAGTCTCACTAATCTAGAGGTAGAAGAAGAAACACAAAAAAAGAAAAAAGCAGAGAAAACTATTATTCAATTTAAACAAAGTTTGAATGTTCACACTGAGTCTGGATGATCATCTGATGAAAAAAAAGTGATTATTCATCATTTTTCCTGCACGTTTGAACATATCTGAAGGACAACCAAAGACTTTTTAAAGCTTTTCTGAGCGTCCAGATGTGGATACACATGTTTTAAGTGAACATATAATCCGTTTCTGTCCTTTCAGATGTAGGAAATCTCCCAGAATCCAACTTTAAGTAACATTTTATATGAGGAGAGGAAGTGTGTCCTATCATGATGCAGAACACGTGGACGGTTTAGTAATCTGCTATTAAAAATGATGGAGAGTGTGTAGTGAGATGTTTGATTATTTCTGATTATTTAATACAAGTTGTTGCCTCTAAATTAGCGTTTAGTGGCTGTTCAGCTGTCATTAAATCCCCTCCAATAAATCTCAGAGTCAGAAGTGGAACGGGCCTCAGAAATGTTTAAGAAACCAGATTTTTAGATTTCCACGGACTCTCAGAGACTTTGAAAACAACAAAAACAAGATTTATTTTTTATTTATTTATTTATTTATTTAATCAGGACAGTGCACAATAATGAACAATCTCATACAGATTGTAAATGAGCCAGATTATAGCATAGTTGCTAGTTTAAATCTGTCGTCCTGAGGACAAAACACAAAATCACATAATACAATATCAGTTCAACAGAGAGACACACGTTCAGACAATGACATTACAAAAATAAAATTAGCGATTGCATGACTGGGAACTTTCGAGAAACATATTAAGGTGCTTTTTAAATGTGTAAAAAGTGTGACAGTCAGTCAGCTTAGCATCCCTTATTTGTTGTTATTTGTTGTTATTTGTTTTTTGTTTTGGGGGGGTTGGCAGTCCGTAAGCAGTGTTGGGTAAGTTACTTTAAAAATGTAATCCGTTACAGTTACAAGTTACCTTGTTTAAAATGTAATTGTAGTGTAACTTTTTTGATTACTTTTGAAAAATAATGTAACTAATTACTTTTGATTACTTTTTGATTACTTTAAGGTTTTAATGAGTATTAACCCATGATTAATTTTAGCATGTTATTATTAGCTATTGGCCGCAGCTAGCAGTTCAAGGCTAACGTCACGTTAATGATCATAAACAGCGTAAATAAACACATAAATAAACCGATGGCAGGTCAGTCGTATCCGGATACAACATTTTAGTATCTATACTTTTTTAAGTATCGATACTTTTGACAACCCTAGTCTGAAATGTAGGACGTCTGGTCACCCACAGTTGGGTAACCTAGGTAGGCTAGGCTAGGCTAGGCTAGGTAGTCTAAGCTAGGCTAGGTCATAGACATCGATAAACGTTTGTCATGCATCAACACCAAACAGTCAAATATTAGTAAATCAATACGCTTCGTCTATCATTGAGTTGCATATTTTGCAAAGGTTTTTCTTTATATTTTTTAACTCATTGGCTGCCAAAGTCGTCTATAGACGTCTTTTATGTTTTTCAACGAGAGTGGCTGGGGGACGATCTGCTAAAGCTTGTCCGTAAATATGGGCTTCTAGACAGAGTATGTAGTAACAAATTGACCCTCTAGGGGGCAGTGGCACTTTTGATGGGAGATGAGCATAGACTGTAGGCAAATAAGAAAAAGGGAACGGTTCTATGAGAGAACATGTCGCCGGTGAGACGCAAGTCCAGGAAGAACGGAATAAGGTAGAAACACATTTTTTTTCCTGATGAAAGAAGAGAGTCTACTCTTTCTTTTGGTGTGTTCGGTGTTTACATAGTCATAGCACAAACTATTCTGTGGCTCTCTAAAAATCAGTCAAAATGCTAAAAAAAAAACTCTGGCAGTATGGGACTCTGTTCTGAAAATGGCTGGCAGTCAATGACTTAAAAAATGCAACTAAATTTGTAATTCTTACTATTTTCGGAAGTAACTGGGTAACTCAATTAAATATTTTCTCATTGTAACTGTAACCAATTACAGCTACTCTTTTTTTGTAATTAAATTACGTAACGTGTCGTTACGTGTAATCCGTTACTCCCCGACACTGCCTGTAAGCGTGAACCGGTTTGGAGATTATCGGGGACAGAAAATCC